AGCAGCATGCACGCGCGCTCGCGCTTGCCGTCGTCGCTCTTCGCCTGCGCGTCGGCGACGCGCAGCAGGCACTCGACGAACTCGATGTAGGTGAGCTTGCGGCAGGCCTCGCCGCCGAGTTCGTCCTCGTGGACGACGAGCGCGCGGGAGAACGCGGCCTTGGCGTCGCGCTCCGTGACGGGCGCGCGGCCCGGCCCGTCGTCGAAGAGCCCCAATTTGTTGGCGAGGCCGAGCCACTCGCCCAGGCTCATGCGCTTCTCGACGCCCGGCCGCTCGCCGTCGCCGATGTGGAGGCGGTAGCAGCGCCGGAGGCCCTCCATGTTCGCGCGGTGGCTGTCGTCGGTCATCTCGCACCAGAGGCGGTCGTGGAACATGTGCTGCTCCGCCGCGTCCTCGAGCATGGCCGCCATGCGCTCGAGCGTCTTGAGCACGGCGTCGAGGGGCGAGTCGACGTCGTTCTTCCAGCGGCCGACGCCGAGGCGGACGACGGCCTCGAGGAATTGGAAGCGGTTCAGCGACTTCATCGGGTTCATGGGGCCCTTGGGGCCGATGGTGCAGGCCTTGAAGAAGATCATGTCCGTGTCGCTCCGCCGCAGCGCGGCGCCGCCGCGCTTGCCGCCGCCGGGCGTCCGCGGCTTCGCCGGCGAGCTCGAGCTCCCGGGCCGCGACTCGGGCGTCGCCGGCGGCGGCGTCTCCGGCGGCGGCGTCGCCGGCGTCGATGGCGGCTCGTCGTCGCCCTCGCCCGCGCACAGCAGCTTCACGAAGACGTTCCACGAGTTCCAGCCCATCGTGAACATCTCGCTGCTCTGGCACGCGTAGTGCTTGAACGTGTTCTTGATCGTCGCGAACTCGTTCCGCAGCTCCGTCTTCATGTCCTCGACGAGGCCGTCGTCGTTGACCGCCGCCTTGGCCAACAACTTCTCGAGGCCCGTGAGCCGGTAGTCCGCGTCGAACGCACCTGGGCAGGAGAAGGGTGCGAAATTCCCGACTTCAAAGGCTCCTATGTCGGTCGTTTCCGCTCGTTTCGGCTGATTTTTG